TGTTAGAAACTACAACCACACCAAAAAGGAACTACATCTAATGAATGATAAACCTACCTTCCCATCAATGGCATTACCAAGGGCATCTACTACACGACCCAACAGCTCCTCGCCAACAGGAACATCCACAATGGCTCCTGTTCGCTTCACAATATCTCCTTCCTTAATTAGTTTATCATTTCCAAACACGACAACACCCACATTGTCAGGTTCCAAGTTCAGAGACATACCCTACATAAAAGACAAGTGAACACCAATGAACCCCAAGTGGCTCTTCTCCCCACATACCAACACTACATGATATGAAGCTACAGAGAAAAAAAGGCAGTATTGTTCTTTAGATCTGGTTTACTCCTAAATATTTTTCTAATAAACAATCTCTTTGGTTAAGACTTTTAAAATAGCGCCTTGGCCAGATAGCTCAGTTGGTTAGAGCCTCATCCCAATATGCCAAGGTTGCAGGTTTGAGCCCTGGACAGGGCATATACACGAGTCCACCAATGAATGCATAAATAAGTGGAACAACAAATTAATGTTTCTCTAAAAATCAATAGATAAAATTTTAAAAAAAGGACTTGCTTCTTATCACATCCTCAAAGAGCACATGGAAGGAAAGAAACTGAACATGGTAAATTTTTCCACTGCATTTCCTTTGACCATAGCTTTTGAGCTGGGTGATCAATATGAAATAGTGATCAAGGGCAATTTGAAATTTTAAGACATAGTTGATTTACATCTTTTGATATATAAGAAGCTCCATAAACAGTTTAACTATCTAATGAACCTCTACTTGTCTGGTTAATGGAAAGTGAAATTAAAAGCTACCCAATCAAGATCGAATCTTCATAATAGTACTGGGTCATCTGTCATTACAAACATTTCAAAATGTTAAGATTTTATAGCCCCTAAATCAAATCAAAAAGGCTATTCCAGGAACTCAGTCTGGTCAGTGATGTAAGATCTGGTGTAGCTATCATAAGCTCTCTGATGATATACGTCCACTTCTTTGTACTAGGTTGAGCCTAGAATACAGAGGAATATCGTAGAATATTATTGGAGGTACTGAATCTTTAGTCTAAATCTGATTTCAATATAGGTCACTAACCACATGTGGCTTCTTAAATTTAAACTCAGTCAAATTTATAAATGTGGTCCCTTACGTCACACCAGCTACCTTTTACATGCTCAATGGTCTCATACATACACTAGTTACCATATAAATAGCACAGACATAGAATATTTCTGACATTACAGAAAGTTCTATTGGACAGTATGGGCTAAGACTCTTAAAAGCTAAAAGGAGACTTGAGAGCTCATTAATTTCAGCCTAAGCTTCAAAGACATATAAGACACACACACTAAAAATAAGAGGTTAACTTTTTAGACACTGATAAAACTTTTGGCCCTACAATTTGCCTTGTACATTAAGTGGCTCTTTTTCCATACTAGCAAGAGGACCAAGACGATCCTTTCCCCTATTTGTGTACTACTGCCCCTGGTCCATCTAGACATCAGGCTCTGCTTTCCTCAGAGAACTATGACTCCTACAACTTTTAATTCTCACCCCACTGGCCAACTAGGCTCAACCTAGTAGAAAAAAGTGGGCTTACATCATCAGAGAACTTGTGATAGCGACACGAGCAACTCGCCTCTCACCAAGAGATCTATTCTTACTAGAAATACAAAGTCAGTGACTTTGAACTTTCCACCAGAAATGAATTTATTAATTTTATTAATTTAATTAAACGAGTTTAATTAAAGTTATCAAATGCTTTTATACAAGATGATCTTCACAGCTACAAAGAACAGACTTGAACTTCTTAGAATTTGGGTGAAGATTTACTAAAACTATGTACTTAGGAGCTAATGGCTATGACTTACGTGTAAATAAGTTTCTAGAGTGAAAACCCTTAAATATATTTTCACAATCTATGACACTGACCACAAAAACCCTGAGGCAGATTGAGATTTAAAATAAAAAACAAAACAAAAAAAAACTGACATAATCTGATTTACTAAATGAATAACTAAATGAAGACAACAACCCTAAACAGCAAAATACTATTTTATAATTTACCTTTAAGCCTGAAGAAAACTCTACCATTTCTTCTGCTTGAACATTCCTCAGCCCGTGTACTCGGGCAATACCATCACCAATACTTAAGACACGCCCAGTCTCTTCAAGGTCAACAGAGGTATCAGCTCCAAGAATTCGCTCTTCAAGAATAGAGGACATCTCGGCAGTGCCTATTGAGAGCAATGCCATTACAAATAATAATCTGGCCCCAGTTTCTTTTCAAAACCTATTTGCATAACAACATGAATAATATAATTTGTGATCACAATGATCAAATTATACTCCAAAAAGCAATAAATGTAGTTCTAATTCAAAAAAGCATGAGATCTATGAAAAAGAACCCAAGTGATTCAGAGAAAATTTCACAAGACAGATAAAAAACTAATAAAATTAAAATATCCTTAAAATAAACTTGCAAGGGCAAATTCATAGATAGCACCTAATGCCTTTGAAAAACATAGAGGTTAAAAACTGCCTACTTTTTGTAAATTTTTTCAGGAGAGGAAAAAAAAATCTTTTATAGATCAGAAAGTGTGTCCACCACCTGACATGTGCACATTCTGTTTCCACCCAACGGGACATTATCAGAACAAAGAAGCTGTACTAACATCAAAAGAGAAATATATAAAACTGTACTTCATTTCACTAGAACAAGCAAACCTACCAACATAGGACTAAATGGCACATTGTGGGTTAAGAATCTGAGGTTCTGCCAGGCAGGTGTGGCTCAGTGGCGACCTATGAACCAGGAGGTCACAGTTCAATCCATCCATGTCAAGGCACATGCACAGGTTTCAGCTCAATCCCCGGTAGGGGGTGTGCAGGAGGCAGCCGATAAATGATTATCTCTCATCATTAATGTTTCTCTCTTTCTCTCCCTTCCTCGCTGAAATCAATAAAAATATATTTAGAAAAAGAAAAAAATCTGGAGTTCCGCAGTAACTAAAATTGAGAGAAAAAATTAACAAAATAGGGGGAAAAAGCCTGCAACAACTATGTAACTTATCTCTCGTTTAATGAGAAGGTAGTAAGTGTGGTGTAGATTTAGAAATAATGACTCACCAATCTTCTGAAGCTGGGTGTTAGAGGCATGGAGATTCCTTGTAGCAATGAAGGATGATCCCAAAGCATTTTTGGAGACCTAGGGCAAAAATGTATTTTTTAAATCTGATTTTTAAAAAGGCCTTTATAAAACTGGCTAGCTTGAATGCAAGCTTAGTTTGATCAAGTTATCTGTTAAGATATTAATTATACTCACAATATTTTGCTTAAAATTGGAAGACTTTAAACAGATGAAGAAACACTTTTTTGATATGTAAAAACCTATTTGCAGTTCCTGGAAGTATAGTAACAGTTAACAAAGTATTTTTCCCTTTAAAGGTATCAGGCACTATTATTTTGACTTTAGAGATATTTATATTAAAAAACAAAACAAAAACAATCAAGAGCCCAGCCAGCGTGGGTTAGTGGTTGTGCATCCACCTAAGAACCAGGAGGTCACAGTTGGATTCCCGGTCAGGGCACATGCCCGGGTTGTGGGCTTGGTTCCCAGCGTGGGCGTGCAGGAGGCAGCCGATCAATGCTTCTCTCTCATCACTGATGTTTCTATCTCTCTCCCCCTTCCTCTATGAAATTGAAAAAAAAAATATTTGTTTTTAATCAAGAAAACAAAACAACTGTCAATGTTGAAATGTGATTAGAAACTATGCTGCCAGCGGTTGGGTTAGGGCAGTATGTCTATTTCACCCTTCAAATTGAGACTACCTTTAAGATGGAAAAAGTAAGTAAATGTAAAAGCGCTAACACAGAATTTAAGTAATTCTTAATTGCGAGAGAGAGAGAGAGAGGGAGAAGTAATGAAGGGCATTGAGCTTCACAGGCATTTCCCAACCTCTGCTCTATTTCCCTCGAGTCCCCATCACTGTCCAACAATTCCTCACGGACGGAAGCTTAAAACCTGTCAAAGTGCCGCCACGCACGCTCTCCTGCTAGACGGGACCGTGCCGCAGCGGCTGGCCTGCCATGGTCGCGGTACCGGCCGCAGGAAACGCACACCCGCACCTGTGCCGGGTCTTTGCGATCCTTTCGGGGTTCAGCACTGAGGCCGCCCACCCAAGCATTCAGGAAACGCCCTTCATGGGCTGCTCTCCTCTGAACTGACCTCCGGGCAGAGTGAAATGCCGGGGCCCGCTGACCTTCACCGGCCGGGGTTCGCCGCTCGCTCTGACCTTCAGCGAGGGAGTCCCGGGGAATCGGCGGGGCCCGGCCACCCCGTTTCGGCCCGGGCTTCCGACAGCGAGCGCCCAGGCCCTGACCTTCACCCAAGGCCCCTCGCGAGCCGCTCTCAACCGAAGGGAATCCTCCTGAGGCCCCATCCCTGGACGGCATCAAGGTCACTGTGCCCCCTGCACCACTCTGCACCATCTCGCACGGATGGCGAACACAAGGGCCTTTCCGGCGGCCCCTCCTGCCCGGCCGGAGCAGCCAGCAGTGCAAGATGGCGGCGCCTGCCACAGCCCCTCACCCTCCTTGCAGAGAGAGCTCCCGAGCCAGCGCCCCACCATCACCCGCTGCTGCCCGCACGGGCCACCTCCTCCCGCCGGTGCCCTGCGCTCACCAGCCCGGCCCGCCGAGGGAGGGCGCGGGCTACGGCCGCGGCGACGCGCACGGACAGCATCTTTGCAGCTCCTCGAAGTTGTTCTGCAGCCGCAGCCTCGGACTGACTGGGACAAAATGGCTGAGCGGCGAGGAAGGTCAAGGCAGCCAGCCCACCTGACCCGGAAGTACCGCCCCTCGCTTTCACCTTCCGGATGCAAATCGGCCTTTGGCGACGTGGGGGTGGTTACTTGTTTTTTTTTAGGTATTATTTTTGGATGTAAATTTCAAAAGGAATGATTAGACCTTTGCCAGCGTCCGCGCGGGCATTGCTGACACATTTACTGTGGTCTTTCCAGTTGACCTTGTGACTGCCCGGGGCGACCACGTGGGTAGCGGAACCAGTGGTGAAGCGGTTCCCTGGCCAGATTCCGGAAACAGGTGGTGCTGACACCCCGTCCGAGGGCGCGGCGGGCAGGCTGACCGTGAGGCGGTTGGAGGTGTCAGGTCTGAGGCTGTCGCTACGAAACCGTTTTCTGCAGAAAGAGGTGATTCTCAGATCAAGGGGCCCCACTCCAGACCCTCTGTGTCAAACATGTTGGGCTCTGAATTTTGACAAGCACCCTGTGGACGACAGAGGGGCCACATACTAAACTTGTGCGTGTGGTTTTAATGTGGAAATATGTAAAATAACGTGTGTCTAATTTACAGGATTCCTGTAACAATGAACAAAAATAAGAAATCACATAGGAAAGTATACATTGCAGTAGCGGTATCAAGAATCACTCACAGTGTTAACCACAATCACGGAGGGAGGAGAGAACTTGACATGGAAGAGTGGCAGCGCTAGCAGTTGAATGCTGTCAACAATTTTATTTTTATCTTATTTATTTTTTAATCCTTACCCAGGGACATGTTTTCATTGATTTTTATAGAGGGTGGGGGGAGAGAAACATCGATTGGCTGCCTTTCGTATGTGCCCCACCGGCCCGGGAACTGGTATATGCCCTGACCCGAATGGAACCTGCCACCTTCCGGTGTAAGGAAGGACGCTCCAAACAACTGAGCCACACCGGCCAGGAATGTCAGCTATTTATTTTAAAAGTCTCCAGCACGTTTAGCTCTTTGGTAGTGGAGATTAACGGGTAAAACCAAGGTTGCTGTAGTTTATAATGCCGGGGTAAAATGAAAAGTTTAAGCTAGTGCCCACAAACATCCGCTATCCAAAAAACAAGTTTCAGATATTTTTTTTAAGACAAGCAATTCAAGTTAGTAGTCAAAATGTAAGAAAACACAGCGTGGCTCTATGCGATTCTATTCTCGTCCTGTAGATTATACCATGGAGGGCGGAGGGCGAGGCGAGGTGGCCAGCAGGGAGAGGCTTGCAGTGCTGGAGCCAGGCGGCAGCCTGGAGTCCTGGTGAAAACTACAACTCCCAGAAGTCCCGGGCCCTAAGGGGCCGGACCCACGGCGTGTGGGCGGGGCCTTCAGAGCGAGCCCGGCAATTCTCCCCCGAGGATCTGCTCCAGAAGTGGCGGGAGCTGCCGTTATGGAAGCGCCGGAGGAGAAAGAGGCGCAGGTGATGGGGCGGGAGCGGGCCTTTGCTGCGTCCTAGAAGCGGAGTCTTTGACACACCCGCCCGCCGGGCGGATCTCCTGCCAGGTTCACTTACCTAGTCCGGGGGCCCATCTTCAGTCCCGCCTTCATGCTCTTTGATTCCCCTTTCTACTTGGGCCGCCCTAGAAAGGGCCTTTCCCTTCCCTCCCCTGTTTAGTCTTGGGCGTGAAACGGAGTTGAGGAGCCCCCGGGTACAAAATCCCTCCCAGCAGTCTGAAGTAGGACTTCTTCTTTTCTTTTTAATATATTTTTATTGATTGTAGAAAGTAAGGGAGAGGGAGAGAGATAGAAACATCAATGATGAGAGAGAATCGTTGATAGGCTGCCTTCTGCACGCCCCCCACTGGGGATCGAGCCTGCAACCCGGGCATGTGCCCCCGACTGGAATCGAACCCGTGTCCCTTCAGTCCACAGGCCTACGCTCTATCCACTGAACCAAACCAGCTGGGGCAAAATGGGATTTCGATTTCTGAAGGGGGATGCAAGAATGTAGCCTTGAGAGTAGCTTATCTTGTCCCATAGTTTGAACCCAGGAGCTGTTTGAATCAGAGGAGCCAACAATCTTGGGGTTTAATCACCAGGTACTTCTCATAAATCGTGGAAGTCCATTGCAAAGAAAAGGAAAGGTCTTTTTTTGTCCTTACACACTCCTGACCTGCCTCCGTGTCCCACATCCCAGCCCTACGAGCCTCTGTGGGGCTTGTGTATTGTGGACAACTCTTTTTTTCAGAGTTCGCATGGATACGAATGCTTTAGTTAGCACATGCATATTGGTCTTTTAAATTATTTGAGTGATGCCAATTATTAGCCTATATGCCGCTTTTGTTCCTTTGAGAAAGAATGGATTGTTTTCTGGTAATTTTGTTCCTTGTGATTCCTCACTTATTTCCTGACATCTGGTATGTATCTTCTTAAAGACAAGTTAGGATGTGAAGTAAGCAGGACTTCAGAGTATTCATAGAAAGCACTTTGTTGGCTTCTGATCGCTTATTTGTAATACTTGCTTTGTGCCATTACAAACAAGACTTAAAGTATTTGTCTTCCTTTTCATGATTAGGTTGCTGCGTGGTTGAAAAAGATATTTGGAGATCATCCTATTCCACAATATGAGGTCAATGCCCGGACCACAGAGATTTTACATCACCTTTCAGAACGCAACAGGGTCCGGGACAGGGATGGCCACCTGGTAATAGAGGACTTGAAGCAGAAAGCAAGTGAATATGAATCAGAAGGTGAGATTAATTGCAGAGTTTTTGAATGAGCTAACCAGAAGTAACCAAATTTTATAAAGGGTGTCCCAAAATTCACGCAAGATTTGAATTTTACGCCATTTGTGCCGTAAAGTGTTGCCAACGGAAAAAAAAGATATCGTCACACCTGACAGTTCAGGGTTATTAAAAATGGAGCACTACACGAAAGAACAACACGTTTTCATTGTTGAGCAATATTTTAAAAATAATGAAGGTTTGGCAGCTACAGTTCGCAATTTTCGTGCAAAATATGGTTGGAATAGTGATTTAACTTCATCAACTGTGAAGAGATTAATTAAAAAATTTAGGGAGACTGGATCAATTAGTGATCTTAAACACTCAGGCCGTCCTTCAACAAGTCATTCAACACAAAACATTGAAGCAGTTCGTGAGTGTTGCTGAGAGTCCAGGGACATCAATTCCGCACCGTGATCAAGAGTGCGTATGTGCCAGCAAAGCCGTGGAGGTCATTTACCCGATATGCTATTCCATACATAACCCTATACTGTATACTTTATGAATCAATAAAAATTTACAATTTTTAATTATAAACCTGTGTTTTCTATCAAAATTACTTCTTGCGTGAATTTTGGGGCACCCTTTAATACCAAAGTGTACAAGAGTAATTTAGTGTAGAAAAGTTTTTAGGGTTTTTTTGTTTGTTTTTAGAGAGGAAGGGAGAGGGAGAGAGAAAGAAACATCTATGTAAGAGAGAAACATCGATTGGTCGTCTCCCATACATACCTTGACTGGGAATGGAACCCATGGAACCCACAACCTGGCCATGTGCCCTGACCAGGAATTAAACCCAAGACTTCAGTGTATGGGAGGATGCTCCACACTGGCCAGGGCTGATATACCATATACATGAAATGTTCATAATAGACAAATGAGTAGAGACAAAATGATATTAGTGGTTGCTAGAGCTTCATGGGTTGGGAATTGGAAAATGATTACTAAGAAGTGGGGTTTCTTTTTGGGGTGATGAAAATGTTCTGAAATTGATTGTATTGATGGGTATGCCACTCTTAATATACTAAAAGCCATTGAATTACAGGTACGTATACTTTAGGTGGGTGAATTGTATGATATGTGAAAGATTCAGTTAAACTGTTAAAAATTTAAAATGAAACAAAACAAACATCTTAATCATCATAGAATTATTTTATCTTTTCAGCCAAGCATCTTCAAGACCTTCTCATGGAGAGTGTGAATTTTTCCCCTGCCAATCTCTCCAGCACTGGTTCTAGGTATCTGAATGCTTTGGTTGACAGTGCAGTGGCCCTTGAAATAAAGGATACCTCAGTAACCAGGTAATTGTTATGATAGTTTTCATTTCTGTAATCATATATGTTATAAGGTCTTGACCTAAAAGACTGTTTCTCAGTGTAATTCTGTGTGGGAAATGGACAATAAGTGCCAAAACACTGAATTTAATGAACTCTATCTTTGTTAGTGAGAATGTATGATTACTTCAGGTAAACTTGGTATTGGTTAAATTTTAGTGTTTTCTCCTTCCAGGATCAGGTTTTTGAAGTTTGATTCTCATGTATATTTGGAAAGGTATTGGGTATCGCTTACTTTATTCCCTGTAAGTATACAATGAGAAAAGTCGTAGGCTACATCATCTGGTTCAGCATACTGAATTTTGGTTATGTTCCTACCCTACGGGGTAGAGTAGTTTAAGGACCTTTATTCTTTGTTACAGGCATTTCACCTGTATAATGACATTATTCTTCCATTAACCCTAAGAGGAAACTGAAGTTCAGGAGGGGCGTTAAAGAACATCTCTGAGCTAGTAAATGGCAGAGTTGAGGTTCAAACCCTGTCTGACTCCAAAGTCTATATGAATATCACTGGTGGCCATATCTTAGCTAGGATGACAACTATAACTTACAGAGAACTATGCAGCTATTCTTCTTCATTGTCAATGTAAGGGCTTGGAATTTATATATATGCTCAAGAGTAGTGTTTCAGGAATAAAAACATGTATATTGTATGGCAGCAGACATCTAGACTTAAGTCAGTTTAGCAGACACTAAATACTGGTTATATGCCATATACATAGCACTGGAGAAGCAGCGATGAATAAGATAGTAATTGCAGTCATGGTCAAATAAGGGAGGCGCATGTAAAAGTATAACACAGAGTGTGACAGCTGTAACATAACAAGAGTGTGCAAGCTGTAGCTTGGGCACAGAGAAAAGGGTGGTGAATTCCAGGATGGGAGTCCATCTTATTTGCGTTTTGAAAGACAAGGAAATTTGCCAGGTGAAGAAGGACTTTGCAGGCAATGAGAACAGCAGGTACAAAATCCATAGAGTTATGAAACAGCATGGTTATGGAAGAATCTACATAGAGAGCAAATCAGTGTTAGAAATGAGGAATAATTGCAATTATTGTCCTTGATGTCCATTTATGTGACCAGATTCTTTTTTTTTTTTTTTTTTTAGTTTTCTCTCTGCAGTGAATGATTTGACCTCTGATCTTTTTCGTGCCAAATCCAAAAATGAAGAACTCAAGCTTGAATTGGCAAAACTTGAAAAAAAATTAACTGCAAGTTTAGTATTAGAAAAATGTCTACGAGAGTAAGTAACTGAATTAGAAATGGTGACAATTTTTATTAAAAGGCAATAATAGGACTTTATCATATTTAGTTTTTAAGAAATGGGGTCCATAAAATGTTTTTTAAAGTAGAAAATGACTTGAATGGAGGTTGGGTATAGACTTTCACCTTTTACTTAATGTAATTTTTCCTTCTTTTTACAAATAACCTGGGTTTGTTCATTTTTTAAATGTATGTGAATTTTCTTTACAAGGCAACTTAAAGTGCATTATAATTTGTTGCTCTTTTTTTTTTTTTTTTACGCTAGTGCTCTACTATCTCTCTTGATGCTCTGGGTCTTTTTTTAGGTCCCTGTTGTCCCAGAGATTAGATGCTATGGATCAGAAATATGTATATGCATACATAATTTGGCAGTGTGTCAGTGTGTAAATTTATTCAATAAATATTGACTGTGTATATGCAAGGCACTGTGTTATGTCACATGCAGGAGAGAGGCCTAATTCAAATTGGCTTTAGAGTATTTTTTTTAGAGTATTTTTTTTAATATATTTGTATTGATTTCAGAGAGGAAAAGAGAGGGAGAGAGAGATAGAAACATCAATGATGAGAGAGAATCATTGATCATTGATCCCCACTGGGGATCAAGCCCACAACCCAGGCAACGAGTCCTGAACCCGGGAATCGAACCGTGAATCCTGGTTCATAGGTCAATGCTCAACCACTGAGCCACGCCATCTGGGCAGCTTTATGGCATTTTTAGTCACTTTTTTAAGCAGCAGATTTACTTTAAGAATAATTGGCATAAATTAACCTTAAAATTATTTCATGTTTCTTGAGAAAAACCCCAGATAACAACATGGAGGGAAGGATGACCTAAAAGAATGCCTGTTAATTAGTCTGGGATATAAATTTTATGGTAGAAAATTCATCAACTATGTTATCTATTGTCTAATTCAGAGTTGAATCCAAAAAGTAATTGAGCTTTTCTTTTTAATAATAATTTCACTGAGGAGAGAAAAATGTTTCAATTTTACTTTTTAAAGCGATCTCAAGAAGGCAGAGTTGCAGCTGTCTACGGAAAGGGCCAAAGTTAACAGTCGCCTTCAGAACATGGACTTCCTAAAAGCAAAGTCAGAAGAATCCAGATTTGGAATCAGAGCTTTAGAGGTATGTATGAAGGACTGAATAATGTTAGGTCTCTTTTTGACCTTCATTTCACAACGAGGCAGTATTACCAATCCTTTTTTACAGACAAGGGGACTACAGAGAAGACTGGTAACTGCCCAAGGTTTCATAGCTGCTTAGCAGTAGATCCAGAATCCCTTACAGGCAGCCAGGCCCCGACTCAGAATCTTAAGAAGCACTGTGCCCATCCTATCACAAATCTGTGGCTCTGGAAAGATTGACATGCAACAAAAAAGTGTTTAGACGCATGTTTCATCTGTGATTTGTAGCTTATCTTTACTGGATTACTAGGTGTATCAGTTAATAATTCGGATTGTGTAATCAAAGAAAACACGATAATTTCAAGAGAAACATCAAAAGTGCTTTATTCAAAGTAATGTCTTTTGCTAGCTACACATTTCCCCCATCTTTCAGGTAATTTGTGGATACCGTCCCAATAGAACTTTTCTTGTTTTGAGGCAAACCATTCAGAGACCCAATTTTCCACTTCTTCGTATGTTTTGAAGTGCTGCTCAGAAAGTACTTGTGCCATTGATCGGAACAAGTGGTAATCTGAAGGAGCAAGGTCTGGTGAATATAGCGGGTGGGTTAATACTTCCCAGGCAAGATCTTTTAACGTGTCTTTAACTGATTTTGAAGTGTGTGATGGTGTGTCATCATGAAGCAAAATTACTTTGCCATGTTTTCTGGCCCATTCTGGTCATTTCACGATCAAAGGGTGGTTCAAATTGATTATTTGTTGTCAGTATCGATCAGTATTAATGGTTTCACCTGGTTTTAGAAGCTCATAATAGACCACAACGCAGAGCATTGTCTTCTTTCCAAAGCGATTTGGCCTTGCAGTCGATGTTGATGGTTGACCTGGATCAATCCATGATTTTGTGCAGTTTGGATTCTCAAAATAAATCCACTTTTCATCCCCAGTCACAATTCGATGCAAAAAAGAGTTTCTTTCGTGCTGCTGAAGCAACATTTTACTGATGACTTTTTGGTTTTTCATTTGTCTTTCATTCAGTTGATGTGGCACCAATTTTCCTTCCTTTAAAATCTTTGCCATTGCTTGTAAATGATCGGGAATTGTTTGCTGAGCAATGTTTAATCTTTCTGCAAGTTGTTTATGAGTTTGACACGCATCTTCATCCAATCATGCTTGTAATTGTTGGTCTTCAAATTTTTTCGGTTGACCTGGACGTTCTTTGTATTTCACATCGAAATCATCACTTTTAAAGCATTTAAACCCAGCAATCACAAGTATCTTGAGATGGAGCAAGCTTCCCGAAGTATTCAGCAGCACTTTTCTTCAAAATAAAGTAATGAATTAAAACTTCCTGCAAATGCTCTTTTTTTGGCACAAAATTTGACATTTTTAAGTGTAAAAATATCTATGATGTTAACACCTTTAGAAAATTTGACATATGAAGTTTTGAAGCTTGTTGTCAATACAACAAAATAGCATACATATCAAATCGCATATATATCAACAAATGTGTAACTCCATCTATTGAAAAAAATCTGCATTAACCGGTACACTTAGTATATGTTGAAAACATTTACTGATGATCACTTTGAAAATAATTTTCTTAACTGAACCCCCTTTTTTGTAACCGTAGGAGAAACTTTCAGCCCGAGGCATGGAGGCTTCTCTGTCTCATCAATCACTAGTAGAACTTTCAGAGGTGAGCTTGATTCAACCCAGTTTAACTTTCTTTAAAATCTTAGTGCACAATCTGCTTTTTCACTTGTTTTTTTTTGTAGAGCGTTATTCACTATTAACCTGATTTATTTTCCTTTACCTCTGTACTTTATGTTCATCAGCATTCATATCTTTGTTCCTTGTTTAGCTGTATATATCCTCACATTTGTTTGGTTTTCTTTATTACTATATGCTAGAAACTCTATGCTGGAGTCAGTTATACATTATTGATTTATTTACTAAACAAATTTATTGAGGAACTATGTGCTAACCATCTAAGTCTTCCTCCCTTTTCTCTGTCAAAGTACAGTAAAAATGCAGGCCCCAAAACTCCTACAGAATATGATTCTAGGTTTTTAGGTTTTTATAAAGATTTTGTCTGTTTTGGTGGGAAAAGGAAATAACAGGGACTTTGTGTTATTTTATTACTCTGTGTGTTTTGTTTGTTTGTTAATCCTCACCGAGGATATTTTTTTCAATTGATTTTTTTAGAGAGAATGGAAGGGAGTGGAAGAGAGAGAAACATTGATGTGAGAGAGACACATCGACTGGTTGCCTCCCAAACATGCCCCGACTGTGGTTGGGGATCAAGCCTAAACAGAGGTACATGCCCTCAACCAGACTTGAACCCGAGACTTGTCAGTCCTCAGCCAACACTAACCACTCAGCAAAACCGTCTAAGGCTCTTCTTTAAATATATATATACTAGAGGGCCGGTGCACAAAAATTTGTGCACTGGGGGGGGGGGTCCCCCAGCCCAGCCTGTGCCCTCTCGCAGTCTGGGACCCCTCAGGAGATAACGACCTGCTGGCTTAGGCCTGCTCCTGGGTGGCAGAAGGCATGCCCAATCCCTAGGTGCAGCCCTGGTCAGGCTCAGAGCAGGGCCGATTGGGGAGTTGGGGTGCCGCCCCCTGTCATGCACAGAGCAGGGCGGATTGGGAGGGTATCGATACCTACATATATATATATCAGGGTAGGGCTGATTGAGGGGCCTGTCACGGCCCCCTGTCACACTCAAGGCAGGGTCAATGGGGAGGTGCGGCACCACCCCCTATCACAGAGCAGGGCCAATCAGGGGG